CTTCAGAGGCTGTCAGGGGAGGGATGGAAAAAGAACCAAATAATTTTTAATTTTCCCCTTCTTCCTTCTCTGCCATCTGTTTTTAGATGAAAAATAACATATGGAACTATAATCCTGGTTCAATAATCAACACTACTCAGACTTTTGATCAAAATGTGACTGAATACTATTTCCTTAGGTTTACCAGGTGAGAAAGGAGAGAAAGGCAATCCAGGTGTTGGAACACAAGGACCCCGAGGCCCACCAGGATCCACAGGTAAAGTTACATTTGAGGCATCTGGATTAGACCACTCTGACCCACACGTGAAGAAGCTTACAGCAGCTCTTTCTCCTTAAGGAGAGTAGCAGAAGAGTAGCAGTTCAGGCACCATAAATGTCATAATGTTCTTACTATGTAATATCATGTTGGGATGTGCCACATGATGGTGTCACCCATCACACAAATATTTTCATTTTCCCTATGATAAACTGCTTCCCCAAGCCCACCTTTTTAAAGTGTTTCACGTTTTGTTTTTTTTTTTGACATGGATTCTAGAACGGGAAAACATTTGTTTGGACTGATTATATTTGTTTTCTCATTGACTTAATGTCATACATAAATGTGAGTTGACAGAGAATTGTATAGTAATTAAGCACATTATATCACATGGATTTATATTTAGGTCCTGAAAAAGCAGAGAGAGTGATAACCAGGTCCTGTTGAAATAGGAGTAAAATTGCTCATGAGGATATCCTGGCCATTAGGCACCGGTATCAAGTCACAGCATTACCCAGAAACTGTATTGAAAGGGAGTGGGATGAATCAAGAGCTGTGCGGGCATCCAGGGCTGTCCTTTCCCCATGAAAATCCATTTCCAGAAGTCTGATGTTTGGTGAAACATTTGCTCCAGTTCTGCCTAGAAGCTGTCTCTGGCAAAGAAAAATTAAGTAGCAGCCAGAGGGGAAGCTCATTGGAAGTGGGTCTCCTCTCAGGCTGCTGCTCTGTCTTCCTTGCCAGAGGCTGAAGTCTTTCCCTCAGCTTGCCCAGGGGAGTCAGAGCCAGGATGCCTTGCTCCTCCTCTCAAGCTGTCTCCTGGAAGTGTATGACACACTCAGTGCCATGTTTTCCAGGCCAGGAAAGATGGCCTCATATCCCTGCTTTCATGAAAGACACTATGCAGATGTTTCATCTGTCTGTTCTATGCAGGACCTCCAGGAGAAAGTCGAACTGGCAGCCCGGGACCACCAGGATCTCCAGGCCCACGAGGTCCTGCTGGTCACACAGGGTCCCCGGGCTCACAGGGTCCTGCTGGGCCTCCAGGGTACTGTGACCCATCCTCCTGCGCTGGGTACGGCATGGGAGGTGAGTAGCCAGCAGTCGGGACAGCTGCCGCTAGCAGAGGTGTGGGTGGCATTTTCTAACAGCCCAAGTGAGATGGAGGCTACCGATGAAACTTGCACTAAAATGTGGTGGCCCCTAAAAACCTGCGTGTCCAGTGGCTCTACTTTGTGGGACTGCAGCATGAAGAGAAGGTGACCCAGCATAGTGACCAAAGGAAAGTGACCACCATCTGATCCCAGCCTGTAAAACCCATCCTGCCTAGTGGGTTTTGTCCTGTTCGTGTTTGTATAGTTGTATGAGCCTGCTCCATCTCCATATTCTGTGTTGAAGCCCTACCAACTCATGTTTGTGACAGCAGAGTTTTTACACTTGTAGTTTTTCAAATGTGTTGCTCAGCCTCCCTTTCCATGTGCCTCTGAGTGGCATGAGAGCATGACCCTTACTAAACCTGTAGTAATGTAACCTGGCACAGGGATGCACGTGTCCATCATTAACCAGTGAAGCCATCTGGAGAAAATTATTCTTTCTATATCTTCTCTGTATCCTATTTTCCCATCTCATTATAGCACGTAGAGGCCATGGGAAGAAGTTAACACAATTACCAAAAATTACATCACCCAACCTAAAATAAAAATTTATTAGTAAAACACTAAACTACAAATGTTATGCATAAGGCATATTTGTTTGATGTTTACAGTTTAATCTGCCCCTGAGCTGATTTGTATGTTTTACTTACCTGAATGTTTTTGTTGTCGTCTCTTCCTATCCTTTTCTCCTCACTTCCCCTCCCCGTTGTTCATTTCCTGTTTTAAGGCCCAATCCCTTACAATGGCTACCAATACAGAAGGTGAAAGGCTCATTCTGGTTCAGGTCTCATTGGGCTGAAGGTCAGAGATGGATGCTGAACTGCTCTGTGCTTTCCAGCAATGATAATGACTACCACTAATGAACTTACAGCTGCTGTACATGCACTTGGCTTCCTGGCACTGCTAAAAATTATTGCCTGACCTGTTTTTGCCTGCTACTCATGTATTCTAGCTCATAATTGGAATAAACTATAGCAGGCAGAGTGTGCAGTGTATAATGAACACAGTATTACAACCGGACATTTGACAAATTGTGGTGGTGGTTTCCAACTAACTTGGCTGTCTGTTGGTGGGTTTCCAATTGTTCCAGCTTATTAATTTTGTTAAATGTTTTCATTGTTCCTTTATGTGAATAAAAGGTGTGTATTTAAAGATTATATATATACTCACACACATTATATAGAAATATATCTATATATAAAATGTCAATTTCCTAATGAATGCTTTAATTTTCTACTCCCCTTCTGTGTTAACCGTATGAATACTCTTGGTGGTGGTGGGTTAAGGTGGATACGGTGAGCCAACTGATCAAGACATCCCAGTAGTGCAGTTGCCACATAACTCCTACCAAATCTATGACCCTGAGGACCTTTATGATGGTGAGCAACAGCCGTACGTAGTTCACGGGTCCTACCCCTTACCATCCCCATACTCCCAGTCCTATCCATCACCTCATCTTGCTCAACCAGAGTTTACTCCTGTTCAAGAAGAGATGGAAGCCGTTGAGCTGAGATCCCCGGGAATCAGTCGCTTCGCAAGGAGGATAGCCAAAAGGAGTGCCAAGACCCCAGTACGCACAAAGGCGAATGGAAAAAGCCCCCCTCAATGAACTGTTTAAAAAAGGGAAACATTTTATGCACACCTGTGTTTGGCCTTTTGCCCCGGTGCCTCACCTGTCACTGAAGATGTTTACAGGCTCTTATGTTAAAGGAGAAAAAAGTGTACATGGCCAGTTGACACAACAAATAATGGTAATTATCTTGCATGCCAGAAGTTTAGTATGTTAGTGGGTTGGTGCTAGCTGATGATGAAAGGTCACTTGTAGATTTTCCTTTGGAGTACTGTTCCGTTCACTCTTCAAACTGTATCTGAAAAAATGCATCTGGCTAGGTGGTGTACGTAGAACCATTCACAAAAGTTAATGTTTTGCTATCCATTTTTTTCCAGTTGATTACTTTCTGTTTGTTTTGGATGAATTGTTTACTAGCAGAGTAACCTGACTAAATCCACTGGAGAACAACGCATCAGGTGTCCTTGCACCCAGGTTATTATCCTTTTGTAAAGATTTCTTACATTACAGACCACTGTTTTCTTAACTCACCTAAAATAAATACACAAGAATGTTCCGTGGGAGCACACTGATAATTTATTGTGAACCTCTTTCATTTCTGTTTTGTACGCAAATAAAAGTGGCAAGCTTTTGTATAGTAATTCTGTAGTCATTTGATTTTTAACTCAAAACAATTGCATTAGATCTTCAGGGGACAGAATGCGATGAGAAGGAAATATATTTCTGGTTTCCAACACTTTGGGGCAACAGTTCTATTTTAAAGGATGCAGTATAAACATTATTTAGCAATATTTTTTAAGTTGTATATGGACAAATGCAGAGAGTAACTATGAGCTGAGGTAGTTGTACCAACTGCAGATGTGTGCAGATTCCTTATGTTGACGTGCCCAAGTCAAAAGACTGGCAGGTGTAGTTGGGATGCCTAACAAGGAGAGGAAGGCAAAACACTAACCCAACCACTTGAGCACAGAGCAATTCATAATCTACAAACAAGGTAAGTTGAAAAGAGACTCAATAAACAGCTTTGAACAGCACTGGAGACTGAGCAAGATTTAGCTCAAGAATGGCCATTTAAGTTGAAAGCATAGGCTTTGAACACTTTTTCTTCAGCCCTATACCGACATGGAGAGGCTGTCCTGTACATCTCAGGACTGTCCTCCTCTTCATTAATGAAATCTCTTCTACTGGGCTGCCAGCAGACCTCCTCCTAGTGAGGAAGAGTCACTTCAGAAAATGCACTGCACAGCCCCAAAGGGGTGTTCTGGCTGGTAGCAAGCAGAGCTACCAGCACTCTGGACCAACAGAGTGTGCCACCTGCAAAAGCCATGCCCAGTGGAGCAGTGCTCTGCCTGGCTGCTTTCCACGGCAGACAGAACCACAGGGATATTGACTCTCCAAATGACAATCATGTAACATCTCAACAGCAAGAATAAAATACCATTAGGAACACACTTAATGATATTCAGCAGCTAGAAAGTAGAGCCACCTTGCTGTTGTCATTTAGCACACTCAAGATTTAGATGCAGATAAACAGTAGTCTGAAAAAGTAAGATTATAAAAAAATAGTAGTTGTCATTTTGTTCTTTAGAGCACAATGTATCAAAGACGGCCAAAGCTCAAGGATGAAAAATAGTGGCTGGTGACAATAATTATTCTCTGCTCCTCCTGCACAGATAAAGTTTTGCAACTTTTACAGTGAGCTACTTCATAGCAGTAGTCAATGTCTTGTTTCTGTGAGACGCAAATACTCATTACAAAGGTATTAATTCTTTAATAACAGTATCAAATAAAATGTCGTTAAAAAATACCAGATCATGCAATGCAGAGTACAGATGGCATTAACAAGATAATACCCATTCTTAGCTGTTTCAAATTACAGTGATTTCTATAATCTTACCAAGTCAAATTTGCTAACAGCTGTCAGAAACGTTCAGTATAGAAAGCTTGGCTGAGCTGCACAGATCCTTCCATAGTAGAAGAATTTTCTTTGAAGGAGAGACACTCCTGATGGCACTTCTTTTTCCATTCTTATTACTTCCTTCGAAAATCTTTAGGTCTGTGTGGGAAAAAAAAATATTTTAAGAAATGCATGTGCACTGCAGTGGCTTTGCTTTAGGACTGCAGTAGCAGCCTCATCTAGTTTTATTTCCTTACTCTGGTGAAGTTTTTTTGACAAAGAAGAATATTATCTGGATTACACAAACAAGACAGAACAAATTAAAGAAATTTACTAAGACCTCTAAGAATTTACAGACATCGGGACTAGTTGGTCACTCCTACTTTCCTAAGCAAAACAAAAAAACATCTTGAACTGAATGCAGTCTCACAGGGTTTTAAACACAGGCACTGATTTGTCTCCACTTTTAAAAACTGAATAATCCATGCATAAAGTGGTAAGTTTTAGTTAACAGCACAGTCCAACACAACACTACTGAAATAAACTTAAATAAAGTTAAAACTGATGATTTAGAAAACCCCTAACTTGAATCTTAGAAGTTCTTCAATCTCCTTTGCTTGGATGACAGGTGTGGAAAACATTCAGATAGAAGCAGACTGCTGTTTGCAACCCTCTGTGATCTCCTATTCAGGCATATCTCTCTCCTTGCCTGTCTGCCACACATCCACTGGCTGCAGGAACCACATCCTGAAACTACACAGCTCAGACCAGCTTATGGCTTTTAGAATGCTGAGTTTGCAGAATCAGCACATCTACATCCCTAATGTGTCCTGCAGAGAAGTTGCACACCCTGGACTCTGCCCAGTTACTCCCCAAAGCCCCAGTGCAGGTCAGGGTCTCTGAGGTCCCAGGACATGCCCGGTGTTCGCCCACCGCTCGCAGCCCCCATCCCACACAGCTGCAGCCTGCAGGAACACAGCGCTCCTCACTGCTCCTCTCCTCTGTGCATCAAAGCAGCTTGGGCAACTCACCAGGACCCACCAAGACAGGTATTAACAAAGGTTTTAGAGACATCTAAAGGAATACAGGGCCAGATTTGCCATGCAGTTGAATGAAAAATTCTGGCATACAGGAAAACCTGCAAACAGCTACAGTAATCAAGTTAAATTTCCAAAGGTGGTAACATTTTATCTGTAATTCAGCTCAATAATGGAAATGAAAAGCAGACACCAATGGAAGCAGACTTACTTTAAAGACTGAGAGTTCAGATGGCTGCAGAGATGCCACATAGAAATCCAACACTTGTTTAGTCCCATGTTGCAGTTTTAGAATTTGCCAAGTAATAGCACTGCAAAGTGAAATCATTCACACAACTCTTGTATGAGCCCATAGGTTCTCACATGAAAGCAACTCTGGAATTCAGTTTGTGTTATTTCAAGAGTAGCAAATAAAATGGTGTGAATTTTACAGAACAACTATAAAGAAGAGCTAGTGTTCATGCTGTAAAGAATCACAAAGCTGCTCTGTTCCCCATTTAAATAGCATATTCTGTATTAACATTTGGACTTGTATTTTTGTGCATGACAGAACTGCTGCAAGCACCATGTATGTTGTTTACATACTTGCTTAATGTTGAACATACTCAATGTTTGATGGCTGGTATGCGCTGGGAAGATACTTGGAGATATTCAGAGAATAGAGAATCAGAGAATGGTTTGGGTCAGAAGGGACCTTAAACATCCTCTGGCTCCAGCCTCTCTGCCATCCCATATTTTGTTACTCAGATCTCAGCCTGCATGCCAGAATAGGTATTTCATTATATCAAACTGTTTGTTGAGTAGTAAGAGTACGGGATTTTGAAAATTTCTCAGCAGTGACTTAGAAGTTTTATCACTGCATCCATCCTAGACAGGTGGACAGTGCTGAAGATTTTAGGCAACGCAGCATGGCAAAGACATCCTTGTCTTGCAGCTTATAGTTATTATTCTTCCTTTTTAGAAACCAATCCACTCTCTTGTACATTGCTCAAAGGATTTTGCATTTTTCTATTAATGACTCCCCTAAAACTTCCATCTAGGGTTATGCTGGATTGCTGCAGAGCTACAGGTCTCACAACACTTTGTTCTGGGGTGAAAAACTTTTTTTTTTCCTTGCTTGCTTGTAATCTGCATTTCAACTTTAAAGCTCATTGTTTTAAAATTTAAATACATAAAAATGCATAAAACACTGGACTCTTAGTTTGCAGTCTTATGAAGTTAATGAAGCTTAAAGACAGGATTTTCCACACTGAAACACTTGTGTGAACAAATACAAAAGTTTTTAAAGCCTTTTCTATTGCTACAGTAGGCTTTTTATGCCCACTAGTACTTGGCTTTTGGACTGCTTTTGAAGAATTCTTGGCACCAGAAAAGCTAAGCCTTGGAAAACACTGACTTTGGCAAAAGTGTTATAGGCATTTTGTCAGACGAAGAATATGAGCCCACAAAAATGCTGTCTAGTCAGAGAGAATTATAAACTACTTGTGAGCATCGATGGGTAACTGCTCATTGATAAGTGACACAAATCCATCTGAGAGTCTTCTTTGGTGGCAGCACTTTTGCCTTTCCTCACCAAAGGCCTGAGTTTATGCACTTGGAAGAAAGGAAATGCTATCTCCTAGAACAGACAGTTCAGAAATTCACCCAAAGGCAAGACTTCACATAGCTGTTTCTCCTTTTCTCTTTAAAGTAACATTCTTGGGGAAAAGAAGTTTTGCTGTATAGTGACAGGAGACTCCAAGACAAGGGAAATGGGGGAATGTGGAACCAATGTCTCTGCAATCTATGCTGAAACGCAAGCTATTATGTGTTCACTGAAAATATACAACATTAGCCTGTGCAGCAGATGTCTGCCACCAAAATATATAAAAACTATTTGTCTCATTTTTGTATTTGACAAAAATATTTTTAAACAAAATATTTATCTCATTTTTGTAACATTTTTATACTCCACATAAAAAGTGTTAAGACAGTTCTGTGAGTTCTAGGCAAAATACTCAGCAAATTAAATCAGCAACCCTTTTGTTACAGGAGGCCTCTCAGTGCTTCTCTCTTAAGAAATACTTTATTTACCACTGAGTAAAAGGCACTGAAGAGCTGGTCCCAGCTCTGATTACAGTTTTTAAATCTCTTAAAGCTGCCCAGGGAAGTAATGGATTCTGCCTCTCTGAAGACACTCAAAACCCACTTGGATGCATTCCTGTGTAAGCTGCTCTAGCGGACCCTGCCTTGGCTGGAGGGTTGGACTGGATGATCTCCATAGTCCTTTCCAAACCTTCACAATTCTGTAATTCTGTAAATTCTCCCAATTTTTATTCATACTCACAGCTATCAGAAGAGAAATACAGCTGATGTGAAATGCTGACAATCCACAGCCACTGAAACTTACAGAACATATAAACCTGCACATATGTCCAGCTCTTAGGATCAGCTTTTGTGGTGGAAAACAAAAGGGTCTTAGTGGTCCCCACAGTAACTGGCAGAGAGCTTCCCAAAACTCTGCAGAATTGATGTATTTCATATAAATGTTGTCTTTTGATATGGATGCCAGCGCTTCACTCTGCAGCGTTCAAAACAACCAATGGACTGTGAGAATTTTCCCATTTACAGGAAAACAGTAACTTCTTTGCTCTGTACCTCACTTCACGAAACTAGACTGAGGTCAAACTAAACCCTAGAACATGGAGAAGTCCTGCCTTTTTTCATGGACTTTAAAGATTAACTTGAAGAGGCTCGTGTCCTTGGGCTAAAGCTTGCCATGGTGAATTCTCTCTTCAGTGTCTCTGCAGATTTCCCAGTTACAGTTATGTTTTGAAAAGCACTGCAGAGTTTAGTGCTGGCATCTGTGTCATTAATTAATACTGATATTTGGTGAACATACATGTACTTCCCTAGCAACTCCTACCAACTCCAGCATACACACACCCCTTTGTGCAGCTGCATGAAACAAGGCTGTATTTAACCTAGGTCAGTTCTCTGATTCTCCATTCTGTTGCCACACAAGCAGAATAGAGAGGCAGGAAAATGGATGGATAATTCTTAAAACCAAGCCTTATTGCCAGAAAAAATGCTCACGAAGCTATGACCTCAGCCTCGGAGCATCTCAGATGGCAAACAGAAACTAACAGCACAAAAAGACCTATCTGCAGATCTGCAACTATGATGGGACACCCCCACTTCACAGAATATTCAATATTCTTTTTCAGTGTGATGTGAAATATCCACTTTCAAGGGTATTTTTCCTGTGAGAAAGGACAGGACAGAGACCCTCTGCAAGAGTTAAGTGTGTTCAACTCTCAACTCCTGGAGTGAATATTTATTTCAATCAGCTCTGAATAGACTTGCTGCACAGCTCCATCTTTATTAAATTCTTGTCAGCACATTCCAGCAATGATTTCTCCCTTTGCCTAGCAATGCTTTGTGGAGGTAAAACAGCCTCAGAAAAATAAAATAAGGGGGATGTGTGTGTTACTCTATGAAGTTCAAATCTAAGTAATCACTAGTCCATGTTATACTGCAACTAACTTGATTTCAAAAATATACAGGACAACTTCACCATCTTATTTTAGGCAAACAAGCTAAAACCTTGTAGCATCTTACAAGCAGAGAGGTTAGCATTACTAACCTCAAGGAAATAATAAAAGCTGTAGAGTAATATATGACACTGTCTATTCTATATGTACAGCAGTTTATTTTGCAATCCAGACAATATTTTAAAAAATATTTTCTCTTCATTTTTAATGACTCGGAATACCTCTTCATAACTATGTATTTGAATTGAATGATTTTGTTTCTTAGAACTTCTAAATGCACTGGGATTAGCTATAACAATATAATTTGTAGTCAACATTGCTTTTTCTTCTTCCAAAAGAAGAGACACACCTCCCTAGTTTCTTCTATCTCATGCTGCTGATAAACAGCATTTGATAACATGACCTTATCTTCTTTCAAGCTCAAAAACCCTGGATAGCCATTTCTCCACAAACAATCCCTACTAATGTGGCTTTGCTGTTACACTGCATTGTCTGAGACTTTTCAAAACAAGTTTTATGAAGTCAAATCTCATGGAATTGTTGCAGTCATTTGTGTGCTTGCAAGCCTGTGTTAATGACTGGGAATGGT